TAATGTAAACTTTCTAATGTCTGACCTTCACTATCCCAGCTCCCTCAGCCTCTCCCCATCTGACAGAGGCTCTAGTCTTCTCATCACCGTGCTGCCCATTTGCTGGATTCACTATGCCCAAACACCAGATAATTGCACAAACCCAAGACAATGTTGGTGCAGTCACTTGGTCATTAGCCAGCTGTTGTAACAGCAAAACGAGCTACAGCAGCTCCTGGCAGGCCAGGACAAGCCCAGGCAAAGCCTGACAGAGCCTCACATAAAGCAGAGCTTGTGACCTCTTACTGGCTGAGGTAGATGATGTGACAGTGACAGCCATTCCAGCTTTTGTGTCATTTTTCCAGTATATGATACACAATTTCTCTGCAAGAAACTCCACCTCCTGTTTCCAAGATGGTCTTTTTGCTGCTTCCAGTTTCAGCCAAACTCAAGGACTCCAGCCCATCCTCTCTGGGCACTCTGGAACAGATCCTGTAGTGAAAGACAGCAGCAGTCAGAAGAGTCTGCTCCTATGACCAGTTCTGCCTAGGTGTGTGATGCTTTTACCCTAAAAATGAGCTTTTATTTGAAGACCAGCCACAGGGTGCTCTGTCTGGGGAATGTTTATTTTTACAAACCCTCTCAGCAGCTGCCTTCCTACAATACAATGCTGGGGTATCTGCCAGCTCGCCCAAGGAGCCATTTCTTCCCTCAGCTTGTCAAAGCAGATTGTGTGCCATAGATCCCAGCCTGAGACACAGCCTAGCCTGGCCCCTGAAAGTGTAAAAGCACAACACATTCCATCCACAGGAATTGCAGCAGCATCTGTGCTTGCTTCATGGCTGGAGAGCTGCTGAGCTGCTCTGTCAGCCCTGCAGGTGTGGCATGTGCCTCAGCATTTGCCTACCTGCCTGTGCTCTGGCATTTTGGTTTGCTCAGGTTGCTTCAGTTGCACTCCCTTAGAACAGGGTCTTGGTTTCAACTCTCCAGGAAGGGACGTTGGGTGTTTGGAAGGGAAACCTGTCCTGTGACTGCTGCTTGGAGTAGCTGATGGGCAATCAGCCATGGCTCCAATCTACTCTCCCTGTTGTCTCTCTGTTGTAGGGAATGTGGTAGATTTGGGGAGGGTGGAGAAATTACTGTTGGCACCATCTCCCTCAGTCATCTTTGAAGCCCTTGCTAGCTCCTGGTGAAGCTGGCACAGCTCAGGCTGTGGTTTTCCCCAGGTGTGCTGGCTGGTGGCAGGCTCTGGTGTATCTTGGGAGCACAGAACTATGTGGGATGCAATCCCAAGCACTGGCAGTGGCTATTTTGGTTCTCCTCGTGTCCCTGCAGCCCCCAGGGCAATAGCAGGAATTGAAAGGTCATTACCAGAAGAAAGCTCTTTGCCAACCCTGATCCTTTGGCTGAAAGTGCAGAGCTTCTGCTGCCCTGAAAAGCAAAGAGTCTTCCATTCTGTTTCCTCTTCACTTTTGCTTTTCACTGTGCTGCCCCACAGCAGCGTGGCACTGAAATGAGCTCCCAGTACGATGCTGTGGTGACCAAAGCTTTGGGAGCCATGCAGTGGATATCTCACCAGGCCTGCTGATGGAAAGCCAGGGCAGCCTGAGGTGTGACCTGGGTCTACTGCCACCCACACTGCCAGGGCTTGTAACCACACAGCCTGAGTTACAGCCACCAGAAGTCAGAACTCCAAACTCATGAGTTTAAAAAAAAATTTTAAAAAAGAAAAAAAGAGGGGGGAAAAGACCTCAGGTGCTCTTCTGTTTGCCCACTGTTATCTCAGTTTGAGCTTGTATTGAAGGATTTCAAGCCCTTTGTTCTGTCAGGTGGGCCCAGGTGTCACCACAAAGAGTGAGAGAGAGCCCTTAACTGTGACTTGGGAAAGGATATGTAAAGGGATTTCCACCTTGGCAAACTGCATATTATGTGTCAGGCCTTGTGGATGGAGTGACATCTTCTGCCATTAGCTGGACTTGCTCCAGGCTGCCCTTTCTGCTGGGGAAGATGACCTAGCAGGACAAGGAAGACAAGTCCTCATGTCTTCCTTGAAAAGCTTGCAGAGGGATTGAGAGGCAGCACAGCTCAGCTCTCAAAAGCCAGATTTCCTGAGGGTCTGGGATGGGATAAGCACTTCAAACTGAGATTTATTTCCTAGGCAGTTAACTCTTCCCTCTCCTTGGAACTGGCTGTAGCTGCTTTTTGGGGATTAGTTTTGCTTTGGGATTTTTTGTTCGCTTGCTTGTTTGAGTTTTTTTAATTGGGACAAAAATTATTTACTGTTGCATTAGTATTTCTATGTAGCGTTGTGTTGACATATATTGATGATTGAATGTGGTAGTAAAATAGCAAGGCAGGACAGGCTAACTTAGCATTTGTGCCCTTAACTGGGTCACCTGTGGGGTCTGGGGATGCATTATTTGTTCACTACACAAACTGTTCCATTACTGTGACAGTGACAAGTGGCTGTGGGAAGAAATGTGGAAGAACTTTGGTGTAGCATTAAAGATGATCTGACAAGGGTATTCTGCAAGCTCCCCAGCCCACGAGAGAGATCTAGAAAGCAGCAACTGCTCAAATCTCCCACCTGCAAGTAGGCTGCTGCCTGCTCTTACATAGTGCAGGACACGCCTCTCTTCATTTCATGGTTACCTTGGTAAAATTATTCTGCCAAAGATTAAGCAGAATATGTTTTATTATATTATTCCATCTGTTTCCTTGTTGGGTTTCCAAGCTCGTCTCCCCTATTTTCCTTTTTCAAAGACAGTACCAAGGCTTACATGTCTATAAATACTAAATAAGTCTATTTCTTCAAAATGGTTCCCTTCCCAGTGCTCATGACAAAAATTACACCTTTCAAAGTCTTTTTGTTTTTCACAGTGTCAGCTAGGAGGTGCCTTGCAAAAGCCATGTGCCACTTCCCACTGCACACAAGAACTGGGAAGGCCTGTAACCAGGTGGCTGCTACTTAGTGCTGGAAGTGAAGCACCAGGATTCTCATGAGCTCTTGGAAATAAGAGAGTAGAAAACAAAAAGGAGGCTCTGGAGAAGCAGCAGATGAATTTATGAAGCCTGGGGACGTGGAACATGAGCTCTGCATCCCAGAGCATGGGGGAGAGGACAGTCCCAGTACAAGCACAGAGAGCCAGTGAGACAAGGCCCCTCCAAGAAGTTGTGGTACTGAGGGACAGAGCAGATGCTGAAGTACAGGAGCTGCTCACCTTGGAGCTGAGTGCCTGAGGAGGCAGCCTGGCCCCTGTCCTGCAGCCATAACCCTCTCACTGCAGCCAGGGCTCCTCCTGCCATTGCACCTGAGAGCAGCCCTTTGACACCCATCTTGCTACAATTTTTATTGCAGATTATGTTAAAACGCAGACCAAGCCCAGAACACAGTAGGGAAGGAGATGGGAAAACTGAAGTCTGATCTAAGTGTTGGGGTTTAGTTACCTGAGATTGTCAGTGCTGTTCTCTCCCTAAAGAAAGGAGTTGGCTTTACAAAACTATTATGATTATTGTTCCATAACAGAGTTTTTATTATTAAAAAGAATGTAAGTATTCCTCAATCAAGTTGAACTTGATTCACATTAAAATTAATTTATTTAAATACTATTAGTTATTGAAAAGGCTTATTTAGAACTGCAATGACAAATGAACAGCTGTGGTGTGGAGACTGCCATTTAAGCTTGTTCTGTGTCAGCACAGAACTCATTTCTACTGAAGCCTTCAAGAAGCCTTGAGCCAGCCTGTGTGTGACCTAAGGGAGCAGTTCTGCTTGTTCCACCCTGGGAAGGGAGCAGGGAGGGGATGCACACCAGTTAGAGCTCCCAGTGTGTTCCATGAAAGCTGATTGCAGCAGAAAGACTTAATGAGCCTTTAATTTAGGATTGTGTCTTTTCTGGAAACAGCTTTGCTGTCTGCTGTGCATAGTCCAGCAGTATTTACTAGGGAATAACAATCATTATGATTTATTTCATTATTAACTATATTGTGTTTTAAAGCAATTTTCTATTTTTAACATTGCTGCAGGACTGTTTGGAAAACCTGAATGTGGAGGATCCCTGATGCTATGGAAATTTGCTGATCAAGCTGCAGACTGGCTTTGCCAGCTCCCTGACATTGTCCCCCTGTAATTAGGCTGTGACCACTACCCTGGATTCTCAGTGTGTTTCATATGGATAGTGACACTCCTTTGTGTTTATAACAGCCTCTTCCAGCCTTTGGATTGCTGGAAGAGCAATCCATGTATAAGGTGAGCCTTTGGAATGCACCTTTTTCATGCTGCTTTACTCCCACCTGCACCTATGATTGTACAGTTGTGCTTCACACATTATTTGTTCAGCCACTCACTACAAAGCCCATACAGACTAAGAATGCTCTGTACAGCCCTTTTTTACTTTTTTTTTTTTTCCTACAACATCAACACAGTGACAGTGACAACAAAATAAAAGGGTGGAAAATAGAACTGCCTCCAGGGGCTTACCTTTACATAAGCTTCTTGACAGGCTGATAGAGCTGGGGTTGTTCAGCCTGGAGAAAAGGCGGCTCTGGAGAGGCCTCACTGCAGCCTTCCAGTACCCAGAGGGGGGTTATGAAAAGGAGGAAAATGGACTTTTTATACGAGCAGGTAGTGACAGAATAAGGGGTAGTGGTTTTAGACTGAAGGGCAGATTGAGATTAGATACAGGAAGAAATTCTTTACTGTGAGGGCACTGAGGCACCAGCGCAGGCCGCATAGAGAAACTTGGATGTCCCATCTCAGGGAGTGTTCAAGGCCAGGCTGCATGGGGCTCTGGGCAACCGAACTGGATGATCTTTAGGGTACCGTCCATTCAGGGCCCGAGTGGGCGAACCCCGAACCACAAGCCGGAACGGAGCCGGGGAGACGGCAGCAGGGCCCAGCCTTTTCCTGGGCGGGACCGCCACGAGCACCCATGGCTGCGGGAAAAGAACTACAGCTCCCGTCGTGCCCCGCGGGCAGCGCGGCGGGAACAAACTCCCCGCTGATTGGCTGTGCTTTCCGCTGCTCTCACCAATCAGACGCACAGCTCACGGGGGGACGCTCTGCCCTCGCGTGAGGCGCGCTGGCGGCGTTCTGCGAGCAATGGAGCGGGACAGGGACCGGGCGGAGGTGAGCGGGAGGGGACGGGGCGGGACGGCGGCTCCTCCTCCTCTGGCGCCTGGGCTGGGGTGCTCCTGGGGACAGCGGTGGGTCCGTCTGATCCCGGCGGGATGGGGCCCTGCGTCCCCCCCAGCTTCCCGAGGAGGCTCCGGGTGATGCTGCCCTTGCTTGGCAGCCCTGGGGATTGTGAGGTGTCCGCAAGTTTCACTCACCTGTTGTGGAAGAGTAACAATAGATTGGTGCTCACATCCTACGAGCTGCTGTAAAATGCACCCATACAGGGACCAGAAGGCGATGAAAACCTTTATTTTCTAGAGGAGTTCAGGCCTTTCAGACGTCAGGAATGCTGCCTGAGGGCCTGGATCCGCAGGAGAGCAACTCTTTGTTCAGGGAGTAACCTGGGACCCTTGGGTCTGTTTGTGCGAGAGCCAGGGAGGATGCGGGGAGACAGCCGTGAGTGAAGTCTGATCTTCCTGTCCACCTGTCTGTAATGATAGCTAGGAGCCAGGGATCAGACGGAATTTAGCAAAGGAAGGTGATGGGCTTGCTGCTGATCTTTTGTTGTTGCCCATTTGGAGGAGCAATGGTATCGTCCTGCCTCATGTAGCTGTTTGTTTGTGTCTGCCTTTCTGTTCCATCACTTCCTGTGCTGATGCTGAGTTCTTACTGCTCTTCCATGAGTTGCTAACACATTTTTCCAGCTTCTTTAATGCTTATTTGGAGCCTGGTTCAAGATTGTTCTAGTCTGAGACACACTTTTTCTGTGCTCTTTCTTCAGCCTTGCAGCTCTCCTGCTGTAACAGCGAGTACAAAGAGCCAGTGAAGATGTTTAGCTGTAGGGGCATCTGGGTTTAGGCAAAAACCAATAGCAAATGTTCTGCCTTCTGCTGGTGTAGTTTCTGAACCAAGGTCAGCTGTGGGCTGTGCAGTTTCCAGAGGACATGAGCTGTCTCCAGGACTGCCCTGCTGACTTCCAGGCTGTGCTGGTCTTGTGAGCTGTGGTGGCAGGAACGTGCAGTCTGTGCTCTGTTCTGGAAGTCTGTGCTGCCTTTACTGTGACAGTGTCTGTGCTGCTGTGCTGTGCAACTGTGTTGGGAGGAACATTGTCTGGAAGGACACAGTCTCATCTGTCCTTCATCAGCAAGGCAGTGCTTTGCTCTGTATTTTCCTGTGTTCCTCAGGCTGCTTTCTGTCTAGCAACAGCCCGGTGGCATTTTGCTCTTGGGAAGCAGAATGCAGCATGTGGAATGCCAGCAAAGGGACCTGTCTGGGGGAAGGTGTTCAGAGTCCTGCCTTTGGGGTTATGTGGACTCCTTGCCCTCTCTGAGGCCACCCCCTGGCCCAAGAGGGCCTCCCCCAGCAGCAAAATGGCATGTGGTGTTTGGCATGTAAAATGTCTGTTTTAAAGCAAACTGGCTCTTTTTGTAGCTGGTGCCTGCCCTCTGCCACAAATCTTCATCCTTGGAGCGGGTGGAGGAGGATGGTGATGACGATGAGGAGGACGATGAACTGGACATCTTTGGGGGTTACGACAGCCTCACGTGCTACAACAGCAGCATGGGCAGTGACAGCAGCTCCTGCCTGGAGGAGTCCAGCGATGACGAGGTGGCAGAGCGGGAAGCTGGCGAGCTCTCGGCCTCTCCCATGCACCAGCCGTCCACAGGCCGGCTCACAGAGGACAGTGGCTCCGAGCCAGGTACTGCCTGCGCTGCCTGAAACGTTCAGGGGCAGTGAAGGGGGTGTGGCTGCACCCTGGGGGTGCTTGGGGAGCAGCTTTGGATTCACACTGCATTTTCTGGGCCGTGTGGGGGATCTGCTCTGTATAATGATGGTTAGCTGGTCTCAGCTCTGTCATTGTAGCGAATTGACTCTGCCAAATCCTCATCTTTTTGGCCTTCCTTCTCGCAGCTGTGTGCGAAATGTGTGGGATTGTGGGCACCAGGGAGGCTTTCTTCTCCAAGACCAAACGTTTCTGCAGTGTCTCCTGCTCCAGAAGCTACTCCTCAAATTCCAAAAAGGCCAGCATCCTGGCCAGACTGCAGGTGCGTTTGAACCTCTCCAGCTGGCTCTCAGGCTCCATCGCAGGCTCTTGTCATCCTGAGGGACTTCAACCACCCCTATACCTGCAAAAAGTAGCATGGCAAGCTGTAGGTGATCCAGGAGACTCCTGGAATGCATGGGGGATAATTTCTTAAGCCAGGGAATAGAGAACTGTAGCAGAGGGAATGCAACAGTAGATTGGATGCTCACCAAGGTAAGTGAACTAACTGGGGATGCCAAGACTGGAGGCAGTGGCTCCAGTTGCAGTGGTGTCATGCATTGGTGGAATTTGTAATCTTGAGGAGTATAGGTCAGCTAAGGAGTAAAGTCATGCTCCTGAACTTTAGGAAAGCAGACTTCCAGCTCTTCAGAGAGAGTCTGTATTTCTGTGAGATTTCCTGGGGATGAAGCTGGATGTGCCTATATGTCGGGGTAGGTGGTTGCTCTCTAAATATCGGACTGATTTTCCCAGTTTGTTCTTCCTGCCTGAAGTCCCCAGAGAAAGCATGACAGCTTAAAGGTGGTGCTCCCTAATAGCTGAGAAAGGACACACTGGTATTTTACCTGCTGTTTCTTGTTGCTGTGAATGTTAATAATATTGTAGTAGTCTGAAAATTGCCCCAAGGAAGAGATGGATACTGAGTTGCAGTGGGTGGCTTAGTCTCCTGTGCCATTAATGTTTCTAATGCTCCTTCTTTTGCAGGGGAAACCACCAACAAAGAAAGCTAAAGTTCTGCACAAGGCATCCTGGTCAGCCAAGATCGGGGCCTTCCTCCATTCGCAGGGCACGGGACAGCTGGCAGATGGGACGCTGACAGGTCAGGATGGTGAGTGTAGGTGAGGGGTGAGGAGGTGCAGCTGCTGGAGTCACACAGCTTGAGGGCTGTAAGCTCTGCAGTCCTCCTCCTCCTCCTCTCTGGTACCCTGCCTTGTACCATGTGTGTGGGTCGCTCTGCCACGAGCTGGCAGAACACAGGACATGTCTTTTTTCCTCTTCCTGCCCATCCACTATTGTAGCCCCATCCTCACTCCTTGTATGACTTGACCTGGAGTGTAAGCTCTGTGGTCCCAGTCCCAGTGCTGACTTCTGCTGGCAAAGGTGACTTAAAGGTGTCCTGCCTCCCCCAGCCATCTGCTGCCCCACTGCTCATGGGGAGTTACATTTGCCCCGAGTCACTCGCTGATCACTTGGAGCAATAACCACTCACTGCAGCTGAAGAAGCAGCAGCTTACTGTGGTAGGGAGAAGGGGAGGGCTGGGGCATGGCAGCAGCAGGGAGTGATCCCTGAGTAGACTGCTGCTGGAGCCTGCAGCCAGGAGGGACTGTGGGATTAATCTCTCAAATTAGTATCTGATTTTCCCAGCATCGTCTGGGAAAGCAAGCATACTGCTGATATCACCCGGCAGTGTTGCTGCTGAGAGGCAAAATGTGAAGTGGTTTAACCTGAAAGAATGCACTCTCCCGGGAGTGCTTTAGCCCTGGGCTGGACTTGACCCTTTTGCTGCCCTTTCTGCTCCCCCAAAAACTAGTGACAGTGAATATTGATTAATAATATATTTTGCCTCTTTTGGGAGTTGATGACCATGCACTCACATAGGGTCTAGTTTCCCACCACAGAAAATGCAGTGGAATGCATAATCCCTGTGTGTTGTGTCCTAGTGCCTGCAGGCTGTAGTCTAGAGGTAACTGATGTTCTGTGTCTCATCTGATTTTCTGCTCTCATGTCTGCTTGCAGCACTCGTCCTGGGCTTTGACTGGGGAAAGTACCTGAAGGAGCACGGCTACAAGGCAGCTCCTGTCAGCTGCTTCAAACATGTGAGTTCTACTTTGCTGTGCATGGCAGGGCACACAGGGCATGTCCTGTGCATGGGCCCCCTGTGCTCCTGTGCCAGGGGGTGAGCAAAGGCCCAGCAGGGGGTTATTGAGACCTGGTGATGCAAGGAAAGGAGTTGGGGTTCCTGGCAGCTGAGAATGGGAGTCTAGCAAAGGGTCCAGGGACTTGGCAGAAACACTGCTGGTAGTGATGCTCGTGATTTTTAGCTTTTTGTGTTTTTCATATATTTGTAGCTTTGTAGATTGCTAAAAGCATGGCTGTAGCTTCTAGTATTTTTCTTCCCTATATGTAGGAACAATAAGCTAACCTTATAAACACATTCAGAAATATTGTAGTCTTATTCCAAGAGCAGAACCAGCTACAAGGACATTCTGTTTTTCAACCAGAATCGGAACCAGACATAACAAAAGTGGGCAAACAAAGCCTCTGGACTGATGTCAGAACCCCAGGAATTATTGCCTAACCAACTAACATTTTACCTGGACAGTATATGATAGTATACTAATCGACTAATCTTATCAAAATTGTAGAATTACTGTACCACATGTGATTTTTGCCATATTGTGTACCTGAAAACTTTCAAGTAAAGGTTTACTTTTGTATTGACTCTGACATTGTTGGGAAGATCTATTCTATTTTCCAGGCATCAGTAGTAATGGCTCAGTGCTGACTGGGAACAGAATTAGTTCTGACTGGGGATGATAGTGGGAAGCTAATTTTGCAGTTTGTATACAGGCTGAATACATCCCAGGTTGATGTGCAGAGAGGAATTAAGTTTATGTGAGCCTGGCAGTAGCTGCACCTCCAACATGTCCAGTTTTTATAAGACTTGTTATATTCCTTTTGAGTTGTTGTCTGATAGTACTGACATTTCCTTTTTCTTGAGGATAGGTTAGGCAGACATGTTAGCTATCCTCATTGTTAGGTATCTTTATGCCATAGAGGAATGGCAGCAGCTACTTTGGAATAATAGGACATCTGGCAGTGAAACAGTTAAGTATTGCTATATTGTATTGTGCCTTTTGGGATCCTCAGTGAACATCCCACTGAGATGTTTGGGACAGTTCAACTGTATTTCAAGATGTTGGCAAGTCCAGGAGGGGTAAGGCATGCAAGCCTGTGCCTAAGGTGAAGGTGTAGCTGCCTAAGACATGTCTCTGAAAACCAGAAGGGCCTGAACCCTGCTCTGATTTCCTCATCCCTCTCCCTGCCTCAATGGCTGCCTCCATCTTTCAGGTGCCGCTCTTTGATCAGTGGGATGATGTGGTGAAAGGTATGAAAGTGGAAGTGCTGAACAGTGATGCTGTGCTCCCCAGTCGTGTATACTGGATTGCATCTGTCATCCAGATTGTAGGTAAGTCTCCAAAGTAATCTTTGACAGCTGGGCTGGGCTAAGCTCTGAGGGAAGCTTTAGAGAACTGAGGGTAGCTGGTCAAGCAAAACAGCAGCTCTTTGGAGCTCTAGAAGTGCTGAGAGATTTTGGAACAGGAAATGCCAACCATGGTGAGGGAGTGAGAGGAAGCCAGCTTGTGGTTCCTCTTCTGGTTGCTGGTCAATTTGCAGGAATAGTTGCTGGAGAATCTGTGGTGACCTGTGCAGAGTGCTGAAGGCCATGCTGTGGGTACTAAGCCTGTGGTGCCAAATTCTTGGCTTCTGATGCCTTTGTTTGTCTGCTCTGTCCTGGCAGGATACAGGGCCCTTCTGCGATATGAGGGCTTTGAGAACGATGCTGGTCATGACTTCTGGTGCAATTTGGGCACAGTGGATATTCACCCCATTGGCTGGTGTGCCATCAACAGCAAAATCCTGGTACCACCACAAAGTGAGTGTGGGACAAGAGGGGTGAGCATATACCTGGGCATGGAGAAGCTTTGGTTTATGCCTAGCACAGAGGGACCAGTGTTCCCACTGCATGTAGGACTGCAGCTCCATTTGTGCTTTGAGTTACAAGCAGCAGTTTGAGTTTGGGAAGCTGGAGATTGCTTGGATTGCTCCCTCTGCATCTCCCTATTATTGACCTGGGGATGCTGCATGCAGAGCAGCAGCAGACCTGCAGGGGCAAGTGCAGGTGGCTTTTCCTCCTTCTAATCCACATGGTGGCTAGACTTGAACTTTGGGGAACATTTTGGTCCTATATCCTGGGCAGCATCTCTGGTAAGTGCAGTGACTTCAGTCCCTGCACAGCTAGCAGTTCAGAGAGGGATGCCAGTTGAGTGGAATTCTGGCAAGCTGAGATTTGCTTGGTATGGCTCATGTGTTTTGCTCTATTACCACCTCCTCATCTAGATCAGTGGAGTTGAGTGTCTGCTTGGCCCAGTTCACTCTGTAATGGTGATCCCTTCAGCCAGATGTCGGGCAAGCTGGCAAAACAGAGTACAGAATCTGAGTGTGAAGAAGGCCTTTTAGTGCTAGTGGGCTAGCAGAGAGATGAAAGGTGTGGTGCTGTAATTATTTTGGTCATAAAGATGGACTTTTTCCCTGCTCATATGTAGCTATCCATGCCAAGTACACTGACTGGAGAAGTTACCTCATGAAAAAACTGGTGGGAGCTAGGACCATCCCAGTGGATTTCCACATAAAGGTAACCATGGGAGGCTGTTGTTTTGCATGGGGGAAATGAAGCTGATGTCAAGACATGTGCTCAACACGTCTCTTCCTGTTCTGATCTGTGTAACTTTTGTGTGCCTTGAAACCTGGGCAGGGCAGGGGCACTGAGTGCTTCCACATGCTGTTTAGATACTTGTCATGATGCTGTGGGTAATGGATGGCACAGCCTCCATGCCCTCTCAGCACAACAGTTTCTGCTTTGGGTCATAGACAGGCTTTAAAAGCTGTTGTCACATGATCTGCTGGGAAAGAAATACTGGGATGAGGTTTGGCTGAAGGGAGAGACCAGTGCAGCTCCAACCTGGCCTTTCACTGTCCTGTTTCAGTGCCAGGGAATAACTCTGAGAGTCAAAAATCTTTGCCTTCAGTGTTGGTAGCAAAGCAGCCTGCAGGGAGTGAGAAGGGCACAGGCTTCCTTTAAGTGCCATGGCCTTGGCATCTCTATATCTCTCAAGATTGTTTTTGTGTGGCCTGTGCTGAGATTAGACCGTGTTAGAGGGAAGAGGGTCTCCTGTGGCTAGGAGCTTTGGAAATGGCAGATAAGGAAGACTGTCCCAGAGACATCAGGCAGGAAGGCAGGTGATAAGGTTTTTTGTGTGCAGGGTAAGTGGTGACACTGAGCTGGAGATCTGGATGTAGTCAGTGCTTCCCATGTTACTTCTCAGAAAGTTAGGAGGGTGTTTGTAGCTGCTTGTTCCTGGGCCCCAGCTTGTAGCTGAAAGGGAAGTGGTGGAGGGAAACAGACATTGCTTTTGTCTTTCTCCCCTTAGCATCCACTCCCACCTAATAAACAGGAAGTGGAAGACTTTAACTTAAAAGTTCTTCTGGATTCAGGTGTAGGCTGGTTTGGGTATCTATTTTGTGTTTCCTAGTTGCTGCATGGCATCTTGGGATCACAGTTCCAAAATGTCAGGGGTTCTATAAACACCACTGGGCATTTGTGGATGAGTAGGACAAGGCTGCATGAGCAAACCAAAGGTCTCAAAAAAAGTCAGAAAGCAGCCAGTGACTCTACTGTCCCTTTGGGTCAGTCTGCTGAGTAACTGGCTTTGGATATGGAGTTGGGAGATGATCCTCATGCAGTTAAACCTCTGATCAGAATATAAAGGTAAAAATAAGAACCTGACCTCTTTTGAAGTCAACTGAATCCTGTTGCACTTTGGGAAACTACACCTCTAACTAATTGCAACTACACATCTAACTAATTGCAGCCTCAAAACTTTCATGACTGAAAAAGGCACACACCATTCCTTACTCAGTCCTTTGTGAACACAAGTTCTCACTGGGAACATTGACCCAAGGTGGTGGCTGAGCATTGCTGCTGGGCTGGAGTGGGGTAGCTCTTTTGAGGCCACAGGACAAAAGGGAGACCCAGCGTGTGTGTGCCCAACCACACTGTCCAGCTACCTGTCCCTTCCTAGTCAGCTTTGGGCAGTGCCAGGGTGCATGTCTGTGGGGAAAGCTGTTCTCTCAAGTGTTTGGAGAACTGTGCTTGATCTCACCTCCTCTGTTGGTTGTTGCCAGATGGCAGAGAGCATGAAGTACCCGTTCCGGCAGGGCATGCGGGTCGAGGTGGTGGATAAGAACCATGTGTCCCAGACACGTATGGCAGTGGTGGACACAGTCATTGGGGGCAGACTGAGACTCCTCTATGAGGATGGTGACAGTGATGATGACTTCTGGTGCCACATGTGGAGTCCCCTCATCCATCCTGTGGGCTGGTCACGGAGAGTCGGCCATGACATAAAGAAGACAGGTAAGGATCAGCCATCAGCCACTGCAGCCATCTTTTGATTTGCTGGGAACTGCCTGCACCCTGCTGTTGACACCAGTCTTGACATGCTGGGAGTGAGGTAGTCACCTCAAGACCTAACAGGTGAAGTCTGCTTAGTTTTGTGTCTGCTGGTTTTTTATCTGGATAGATAAAAGCCCTGTGATCACAGGTCACAACAGGCAACTGTAGGGTTTCATACCTGAAGCAGACAGTCTGTCCCCGTAGTGTGAGAATGCCGACTTTGCAACATGACAGATGTTTGTAGTCTTTTTTGAGGAAATTCATGCTGGCTTCTGTAACACTGGATGCCATCAGGTTGCATTTTTCTGGACTTTACCAAGAGGAATTGTTGATTGGCTTATTCTAGCAAAGTAAAAGACAAAAAAGCAAGACTTGAGCTCTGCTGATCCTTTTGGTTGTGTCTCTATTCCTGCCTCTCCCTGGTGATTATAGCTGCATGTGTTATCAGTAGTTCTCAGGAAGCTCAGCCGTCTGCTTTTGAACAAGCCCTTCATCACAGCCTGAAGTGTAGAGGGACTGACCTGTTCTTTTTATTAAATAGTCACATATTGAGGAGGTTTATAGCAGCTAGGCTCTCACAGGAAAATTAATAACCAGTCTGTTTCCTTATTGCAGTTGCTGCAGGTTTTTTACCTCTCTGTGTTTCTTCCATTCCTCACAGACGAAAAACGTAATGACATGGCAAACCATCCCACCTTCAGGAAGATTTACTGTGATGCTGTGCCCTATCTGTTTAAGAAGGTAGGACAAGTCTGCCTTTCTGTGGGGGTCACAAAGAAGGAAGCAGTGATAGCACTTCCTTGCCTGGGCATACATGCTGCCTTGTGGGTTGTTGAGGGTGGTCTTCTTATACCTAAGGGCAGTAAGATCTTTGGGGTGTCAAGGCAGTTGTTCAGAAGGAGCAGTCAAACTAAAAAGCTGAAAGAATTAAAGGACAGTGACAGATTGAGGCACTCAATCAAAGGGCAAGCAAGGGAGCTTTGAGTTGGAGAGGGAAGAGGATTGCATGGGAGAGACCAGTTCTCACAAGGAACTGGATCATGCTGGTAAGGACTGAGATGACAAGGAAGCTTGCTTTGTTGTGGAGCAGCAGTTGGGCTGGGCTCTGTGACTGACCAGAGCCATGGCAAAAGGTTGCCAACACAAACATAGTGTGTGTTTGGCTGCCCCTTTGAATTTCTTGTAATATTTTTGGTTTCCCCTCCCAAGCTGAACCAAGTGAAGTTTCAAATCCTGTTTGTACTTGCTGTGCTCGGTGTCAGGATGGGACTGTCCCACACCCCTGGCAGCACATGGTGTACCAGAGTCTCCCTTAGGTACGAGCTGTCTACTCTGAAGGTGGATGGTTTGAGCGAGGCATGAAACTGGAAGCAATTGACCCCTTGAATCTGGGCAACATCTGTGTGGCCACTGTTTGCAAGGTAAGTTCAGTGAGCCTAAGGGGTCTGCTGTGTCTGCTTAGCATAATGCAGCTTCTCCTCAGCTCTTTTCAAATTAATGAGACCAGGTAAGATTTTGTATGGGGGAGCAGAGAAGGCTGTCAGGAGAGGTGGACAGCTGATGTGTGGAGGGAACTGGGGGGGTTATCTCAGAGTTCTGACAAGCTGTTAACCATGTGTACTTAAACAGACAGCGTGAAGATGAGCATGCTTGGTCTGCAGGCTAGTGCCCAGTGTGTGTGACTGGCAACCACACTCTTTCCACCATTGGGCATGCAGTAGGGAAGATTTGTTCTCCAGTACTGAGAGTGCATAGAGAGGCCCCTCTGGAAAGAAGGGAAGAGTTGTGAGGTGACCTCCATGTGAGGAATGGCATGAGGATGGACATGTCACCTTCAGTCTCTTGATGAGGTGGTTGTAAGCTCTACTCTTCTGCTAGTGTCAAGAAGTTCCTTGCCCGGGTTTCCTCAGTGAACTGTGTTGAATGTTGAAAGCATAATATTCATCTGGGCTTTTCCTGCTTCTTCAGGAAGCTGTTTGCCCTCACAGAACCCAAACTGAGGACTTTGATACTTGGGAGTTTGGCTGTGAGATGCTATGAGAGCTGTTTGTGTCTTGTAAAATGTTTCCTTCAGCCAGGTTTTGAAATGGAAGAGTTTGGGATAGACATGCCTATCGCCTTTAGTAGGCACTAATACCAGTGAGTGACAGGAAGGGACAAGTCTTGTTGCTGTATGAAGTTGCAAATCCAAGGGTGGTGCTCTTTCCCTTCTACCCAGTAACAAATTCATGATCTGGCTGGTAGAGAGGGCTTTTGGGCTGCTAGTGAAGTGTTTCTGGAGGAGAACAGAGCTCCTGACTGCCATGTTACTTACGGAGCATGGGCTAGCTCTTAGAACTCGGGTGCCACGCCAGGAGTGGGGAACTGCCTCAGTGCAGGGATTTACCAGAGGCAGAACCTTTAGAGCCACTTGTTCTAAGTTGCCAGACACAAGCCATGACAGGGACCAGGCAGAGGACAAAGGAGGAGGCTCTTCGTCTTGAAGGAAACACTTATTCCAAGGAAAGGGATCAGAAACAGTCTCGGGCACTCCCGTGCAAGTGGTTTTGCACAGATCCAGGTCAGGAGGGGGATACAAACAGCTAAGCAAAAGGGAATCCTCAGGGGAGGAGCAAGGGGATTACATCAAGTGTTTGGGGCCAATTGGGGTAGGAGGGTGGAGAAGATGGGTCACATGGGCCAATGGGGCTTTGAGGAGTCGGGGAATGCCAAAGGGGTGTTGCAGTCAGGGATTGGCCCGAGGTTAAAGTGGAACAAAAGGGGCTGGGTTGCCTTGACAGGCAGGGAAAGAGCTGGAAAAAGAGGTGGGGAATGGCATGAGGGACAGCTTTGAGGGAGGGTAAAACTGAGGGGTAAACTAACTTGGGGAGAACATGGGGGTATAACAGAACAAACCACTTACCAAGGAATCAATAAAATAAATTTGAACCAAAACAGCTGACCATTTAAGGCTTTTTACATAGTCTTTCACAAGGCTCTTAGTGTTGGTCCCAGTCCTGCAGAACTTGCTGCTTTGAGGATTAGTTTGTGTTGACTAATGTATTAGGAGAAGCTTGGGGCACATAACATTGGATTTTACTGTCTAGTGGCAATTGTGATTGATATGTGGGGGGACTCTTGAGAGAGTCTTTTGAGAAGAGGAGAGGCTTTAGAGCAAGTAGAGCTCTACTCATGCCTTCACTCCCATCTCAGGTTCTCTTGGATGGGTATCTCATGATCAGCATTGATGGAGCAACGTCTGATGATGGCTCTGACTGGTTCTGCTATCACGCGTCCTCACACGCCATCTTCCCTGCCAACTTCTGTAAGAGGAACAACATTGAACTGACCCCTCCAAAAGGTGAGATTTGGACTCTGCCCTGTGGTACAAACCTGCACGCAGAATTTGATGGGGGGTGCGTTTCTGAGAGGGGTCAGGTTCAGATAAATCAAAACAAGGTCCCAATCCACTTGTTTTTCAGGGAAACTGCTAGTTCAGAAAGCCAGGATGTTTAAGCTTTGCCCATATACCAAGTCTTGGTTAGCTCTTGGCAGATCAGTGGCAGAGGTGTATGATCCCCAAACTGAGCAGAATAAAAGCTTTTAAATGACAAAGAGGATGGGAAGGGATAAGTAGAGGCATTGCTGCAGGAATCATTACTTAAGTGTCCACAGTCATCTCTATTCTTTTCTCTATGAATAGATCTGACATGAGTATTTCTTCAAACTCCTAAGAGACAATCACCCTAGGAGTGTTTCTGCTGCCTCATCTAGCCATACCTGAAAAATCCTGCTCTGAATTTCTGTGTTGCAGCATTTTTGTGCAGTGCTGTTCATCTTAATTTGATGTTCCTGCTGATGGGAGAAAGAAAGATTGGTCTCAGTGGTGTGTTTTGAACATACTACTTCCTTCTTGCTGCTGGTCCTCCCCTTTCTCTGGGTGTGTGGCTGACACAGATGTTCAGAGCTGCAGCTTGCTTTTCTCTGTATTTGCCTGCAGAGAGGGGTGCTGGACTCCCATGGAATCCATGCACCAGGTTCATGTCCAAGATCAGGCTGTACATGCAGGTTCATTGACCTGCTCTGCAGCTGGTTGCTATGCCTCCTTCCTGCCTACTCTGCCTTTTGTCCCCACTGGTCTACCCAGTGACTGCCTTTTTACCTCTTAGTGTTTCTTCCTTCTGCAGGGTATGAAGCAAAGACATTCAGCTGGGAGTGTTACCTGGAAGAGACCAAATCAAGAGCTGCTCCATCACGGCTCTTCAACACAGTGAGTGCTGCCAGGAAGAAACGATGTGTAGGGATGCTTGGAGTAAGCAAGGAGGAGTGCAATAGCTCTGGCTGTCACAAGATCACAGAGATGGAAGTTACTTCTTGTCCAGCACCCCTGCTACAGCAGGGTCATCTGTAGCATGTTGCTTAGGACTGTGTCCAGATGGATGGAGACTCCACAACCATGTGGGCAACCTGTGTCAGCACTCATTGGCACTCATGGTAGAACTTGTCTCCTGATGTTCACAGGGAAATTCCTGTGTTTGTTTGGGCCTGTTAACTCTGGTCCAGGCACTGGGAGCCACTGAGAGGAATCTGGCTCCATCTTTGCACCCTCATTTTAGGCATTTATGCACATAAATAAGGTACCCCCTGAGCCTTCTCCAGGATGAAAAGTCACAACTCTGTCAGCATTTCTGCATACAAAAGATGCTCCAGTTCTCTCATCTTCTTCCTGGCCCTTTGCTGGAATCTCTCCACTGTCTCCCTTGTACCAGGGAGCAATTGAGGTGTAGCCTTGTCAGTACTGAGCAGAGGGGAAGGATCATTTCCACTGACCTGCTGAGAACAGCTTACCATTAGCCTTCTTTGTGCCAAGGGCACTTCCCTGGCCCACGTTCAACTTCATGTCCACTGGGATTCCCAGGCCCTTTTTGGCCACGCTGCTTTCCAGTCAGTCTGCCCCTAGCTTGTGCTGGTGCCTGGGGTTCTTCCTCTGCAGATAAGGGATTCCAGCTTGTCAAGGTGCCTCTGGAGGGCAGCACAACCATCTAGTATATTCTGTCTCTCCTCCCCGCTTTCTACTACAGGCAAGCTTGCTTGGTTTGACATGATACTCTGACATGTCATCTGGATAATTAATTAAGATGTTCGATAGGAATGGATCCAGTATTGATCCCTGGGGTACACTGCTATTTACTAGCCTCCAACTAGATTTCATGCCACTAATAACCATCCTCCTGGCCCGGTCACTCAGCCAGTTTTCAGTCTGTCTTGCCGCATCCGCACCCAGCCTGTATAGTTCAGTCATCTTCTCTATGAGGTTCTTGTGGCAGTGTCAAAAGTCTTCCTGAAGTCAGGACAGACAATATGCAGTACACACAATATATGCAGTCTCTAGTGGGCTGCAGTTTGCTGACAGCACTTTAGGGAGACCTCAAAAGCCCAGGAGTATGTACTCTCTGAGTTGGGACATCAGTGTCCTGCCTTTTGTGGGTCCCTCTGTTTCCTGTGATTTTTCTAGTGTTTCTGTGAGCTCCAGGCTCCTGGTGGGCTCTGCATTGCTCATTGCCTGGATGTGTGGCTGGCATGTTGGGTGGAGGTTGGGGCTGCTTTACATCAACAAAACTGCTGCAGCACCTGGGCCTATGCTGATTTTTCTGATTTCCCAGGGGTAATTGTTTGATTGTGTTCCTGAACTGCTGCTCCCCTCACAGCAGGATCTTGCTTCTAAAGGCTGGGCTGAAATTGGCTGAGGAGACAGCTGGCCTTGGATCTGTTTTTGGATCTGTGGGCTTGTTGTCTGCTTGCTTTAGACTAAAGGCCAGCCTGTGTGAGAATGGTGTTGGCCAGAAAAGGGTTTGGACTGAGTGCAATGGCCTTGGCTTTTCTTTTAAATTTTTTTCATTTTTATGCGCCCAGGACTGTCCCAACCATGGCTTCAAGGCAGGCATGAAGGTGGAGGCAGTGGACCTGATGGAACCCCGGCTCATCTGTGTGGCCACGGTGAAGCGTGTAGTCCAACGTCTCCTTAGCATCCATTTTGATGGCTGGGACAACGAGTATGACCAGTGGGTGGACTGCGAGTCTCCAGACATTTATCCTGTGGGGTGGTGTGAGCTGACAGGCTACCAGCTTCAACCACCAGTGGTTCCAGGTGAGTGAAGATTTTACTGTGGTTTCTAATGTTAGAGATAAAGATTTCCTTCCTCCTTGATTTGCACTGGCTACCAGAAATCTTCCTCTGTTGCCACGTTCTAGCAGCTGGCAGAGGAAGGAGCCTTGATAGGGAGAAAACAGCCTGAGTTTTGAGATTGGCTCTGTTCCCCCACACCAACAGAGAATTGCTCCTGAGGAAGTTGGGTAGAGTTCCAGGTGGTCCTATCCCTGCACAGCTCCCTTATATTAAGAATAGCTATAACCTTAGCCAGGTAGCAGCAGGAACTTGCCCCATGCTCCCTTTCCTCGTCAGCTCTTTGACTCTGTCTATAAAAGGTAAGAGCATCCTCTCAAGAGTTCATTCGTCCCCTTGTCACAGGGAGGCCACTTCCTCACCTTTGCAGATGTTCTCCTTCTTGTTTCAAACTACAAATCTTGTTTCTTTACTGCCCCTACCAAGTCTATACTGGGCCTCTCTCCCCTGTGCTGCCCCAGCCTGCCGCTCTGGGCCCTCACCTGGAAGCACAGAGAGCAACTGCACTAGAGCCTTGCTTTCCCCTCAGCTGGTTGTCTTGGGAAGAGGGCTTTGGCTTGGGGGGACGGGTATATCTGTTTCTCGCTTATGTCACTTCATCCCAGTTACCTACTGGTTATGGGACTTGGCTTTCGTTTCCCTCTCGTCTCCATGACAGAGCCCACAGCTCCAGCGAAGGCCAAGGAGGTGCCCAAGAAGAGGAAGAAACCCTATGGAAAGAAGAGTGAGTGATGTTTGATTAGTGCCCTCCCGCTCGCTCGCAGGCTGGGCCCAGTTAGAGGAACCCTGTTCATGTCCCATCAGAGCAGGAGAGAGAGGCCTTGTCTTGCTGTGGATGCCCTCTTTTGGCTGTGGGTTTACCAACACAGTTTCACCCTTCTTACCTGCCCTGTTACTTAAAGAGCAGAGAGCTGTGTGCGGGAAGGATCTGTTTTGCAGTCTGTTTTCTGTTGGCTGAGGTATATATGGCACTTGCTTCCAGGTGTGAGGTTGTGCTGCTTTCACTACTGTGTCCATGGTTGGAGGGAGATGTTTGCTGCAGCTGGAGGGTAGCTGGACAGCAACTCTGCTTTGTGCTGAGGGAAAGAAAGCCTTAAGATGGCTGAAGAGGCCAGTAGAAATACTTTTATTGTTTCATCTTGTCATTGTTGTTGTCTTTGTTGCAGTAGCTGTGGCAAATCATGTAGACAGACAATAAATTCCTTCTTGGGGGGTGGAGGGGAAAGTACATCCAAAGAACATAAAGATTTTCAACCTAAATAAAAAGGTCAGCTAAAAACCAGAACATTGCAGTTACAGTGTCTGCACCTTGCAGCAAATATGCTCATTGCCTAGGACTAGACTCAGACAGGTAAGCAAAGCTGACTCCACACTGATTCTGAGAGGACCTGCTCCTTGGAAGTTAAACACATGCTAAAGTGCCTTGCCTTTAATGAAGGAGAACATGAAGGAGCATATTTTGAGATGATGACTGTAGAATTTTTCTCCAGTAGGCCATTTCTGTTGCATAACCAGTTGGCAGCTAATGACCATGTAGCTTTCTGTTCAGTTGTGCTGGTCCCTGGCCTGTGGTTTCTCAGAGGAGCAGGGTTGCTGATTTTCCAGGGAAAAAGAAATACACTTTTGTTCATAGTCTGTTATCTCTTTAAGGAAAAAAGTTACCTGCCAAAGCCCGCAGTGTCAAGCAGCCTGTCAAGAAGCCTTCTGCCATGAACTCAAAACGAGAAGCAAAAGCTGCCAGCCAGGCTTTGCCAGACCCAGCACCCGATGAGAGTAAGGGAATGAGTTATTGTACCCTGCAGCCACATCCACCTCTCCCCATACACTCTCTTGGCCAGTATTCATGGGCACCCCCAGGCAGGAGAAGGCAGCAGCATGTCAAATGTCCTTCCCTACTCCTCCAGAGACACTCAAGAGAGTAGAAGAAAGCATTTGCTTGCTTTCCCTGGAAAGGTTTGCCTCCTGAGAAGGTTTGGTGAGACCAGTACTGCTCAAAATCTCAATGCTGCTTATGCCTGCTGAGGGCCTGGTTGTGTGAGGTCAGGGAGGAGAGACAAAGTGGATATGTCAGGGGTGGCTGTCTCATCCCAATCCCCAGCAGGGCTGTTGCAGCATGTGAACACAACCTCTCATGCTGTGGTGACCAGCAGAGCAGCTGGGTCACCTGCCAACCCTGGCGGGTAGGGGGAAGGAGGGTGGGTGAGGTGCCTTGTGCACATGTGGATTGGAGAGTCATGAAGGGTCCCTCCTGTTCATTTAAGTTCCCCTTAAATGTGAGCCCAGGCAGATTGAAAATGGATGACATCAGCTTTGGATGTCATCATCCCTTAGGAGTTGTTCTTGGGGGCCAGCAGCTGAATGCTGCCAGGGTTTAGTGCCATCCTGATTGCTGTTATGACCGTGGATAGCTTTGCAGTGGCATGACAGGGCTGCCTGTGGTGAGGCACCCTCAGGGAGTGGGCTGGCACCAGGGCCTGGGGCATTTTAAGTACCTGCATGGACAGATCTGGTTTGAAGGTGCTGCAGGTAATGCTAGTCAACATGGGTTGATTTTATTTACTTATTTTTCCCTCTCTCTTTCTCTCTTGCTAGTCATTGCTGTGCGGGTGAAAGAAGAAACCATTGACCCTTCAGATGCAGAATTTGGACAGACAGAGCTTCCTGTTCCCATCAGCAGCATAAAGGAGGAGGACACAGACTGATCTGGAGCATTCCACAGCTGCCCACAGCAGCTTCACCTTGTGGCTCTCTAGGGAAGGTCCCAGCAAAGGGAAACAGAGGACCAAAAGGGCCTTCCTTTTTTAAAGCAGACCACCCTGTGGCATTGTAACTCTGCTTTCCTGGTGTCCAAGAAAATTTCCTCCAGACTTGTAATATTAAGCCCTAGGAAACAGCAGGAAGACTGCAGGTGTGCTGCAGAGCATGACCAGGGTGGCTGCTGTAGTTGTGCCTGCCTGCTTTTAAAGGCACCTTTTGGATCAGGAGCTCAAAACAAGGAAAGAGGCTACCCGAGCACAAAAGGCCAGTTTGAGTTCTTAGCTTTGGCTGGAGGTGACAAGTGACGAGTGCAGGACGTATCAGGAAAGGAGCTGCCCCTGTAGGACTTTGGTGCTGTGCTCTCTGGTCTAAGTGCTGCGAACCCCAAGAAAATCGGGACAGGAAGAGTGGAAAGAGGTGAAGAAACAAAAGGAGATGATGATGCCTGCTGAAGAAGTGAGACCTTTTTTCATAGAATGGTTTGGGTTGGAAGAGGACCTTAAAGATCTCAAGATCCTCATCTAGTTTTAGTACCCCTGCTGTGGGCAGGGACACCTACCACTAGACCAGGTTGCCCAGAGCCCCATCCAACCTGGCCTGAACACTTCCAGGGATGAAGAATCCACAACCTTCCTGGGCAACCTGTTCCAGTGCCTCACCACCCTCACAGTAAAGAATTTTTTCCTAATACATCATCTAAAACTACTGTCTTTCAGTTTGAACCCATTCCTCCTCGTGCTGTCACTACATGCTCTTGTTAGTGGTCTTGTCTCATCTTGCCTGTATGTTCCCTTCAGGTATCAGGAGACTGCAGTTAGGTTACCTCGAAGCCGTCTCTTTTCCAGAGTGAACAATCCCAATTCTATCAGCATTTCCTCATAGGAGAGGTGTTCTATCCCTTTAATAATTTTGGTGGCCTCCTGTGGACTTGCTCCAACAGGTATATGTCCTTTTTTTGTGCAGAGGACCTCAGGGCTGGATGCAGCACTGCAGAGGGAGAATCCCCTCCCTCACTCTGGCCATGCTGCTTTTGATGCTTTCACTCATCTCTTGATGCTTGATTGGCTTTCTGTGCTGTGAGTGCCATTGCTGGGTCATGTCCAGCCTCTCATCCACCTGTATCCCCAAGTCCTCAGTAGGACTGCCCTTGATCCCTTCATGCCCTAGCTTGTGTTGATACTGGAGGTGTCCCCAGCCCAGGTGCAGCACCTTGCACTGGGTCTTGTTAAACCTCATGAGATTTCCATGTGCTCACTTTGGAGTCTGTTCAGATCTCTGTGGCTGGCATCCCATCCTTCAGGTGAGTGAAGAGCACCACTCAGCTTGGTGCTATCTGCAAACTTGCTGAGTGTGCCCCTGATTGTTTTGTCTGTGTCAGTAACGAAGACATTAAAAAACACTGGTCCCAGTACAGACCCCTGAGGGACACCACTGTCACTGACACCCACTGGGACTCTCAGCTGTTGACCACTGGTTGATGGTTGCAGGCAACCATCAAAACAATTCCTAATCCACCAAACAGTCCACCCATGGAACCCATCACTCCAGTTTGGAGGGAATAGTTGTGAGGGTCTGTGTCAAAAGCTTTACACAAGTCCACCTGGCTCAAGGAGCTATCTTCCATGCATTGCAGGAGTCTCCTGGATTGCCTGCAGTTCCCTTGGTGCTTCCCCAGTAGCTGTCAGGGTGGCTGAAGTCCCCCAGCAGGACTGGAGTGTGTGAGCACCACACCTCCTGTGGCTGGGGCAGGAAGGCTTTGGCAGTGGCTCCCCTTGGGCAGGCAGCTGTAGCAGAGCCCGGCCTCAGGGTTCCTTTGTTGCCTCAGTGTCTGATTTTTACCCACAATATTTCAGCCTGCTCATGGCTGTTCTTCAGAGGCAGCTCTTCACACTCAGTGCACTATTGACATGGAGGGCACCCCCTCCACCTCTCCCTCCTTTCTGTCTCCTGAACAGCTCACAGCCATTGACAGTCACACTCCAGTCACACAATTTGTCCCACCAAGTTTCAGTAATGGCAACAAGGTGATGACTTTCCAGCAGCATGGTGGCACCCAGCCCCTCCTTTGGTTTGTTGCCCATTCTGTGTGCTTTGGGGTAAGGGCACCTTGGACAGGCTGTGGGCTGCATCACCTTCCCAGAGGAACACCCCTTAATTCCTTTGAGATATTTCCCTGCGGGTATCCCTGTTGGCTTCTGTTACCTCAGGAGTCCCTGGCTCACCTCTCTAAGACTCCAAGTGTGCTCCCCTGTGTCTACTACCTCTTCAAGTCACCTGCAGAGGGACTCAGTACCTCCCTGTCCCTTTAACCTTTTCATGCCATCCTACAGCTTGCCAGGGAAGAACCTGAAATTGTCCCCCTCACATCTGGTTTAAGCAAGCAATTGGATTGCCCAAGAAGGAGTTTAGGAGGATTCACCCACGACTATAAACACCTCTGGTGGTAGCTCTTTGATGTTTACTGTGAGGGACAGTCAAGGAACATCTTTCACTGCACTGATTGGTGTGATCTACTGCCCAGAGGAAGCCATGGGACTTCAGACCTCACCTACACTGAGTTGTTTAGTTTAAAGCCCATCTCACCAAATTAGGCAGGCTGCTGCCAAAGATTCTCTTACCCGTTATAGATAGGTGGATCCCATCATAGACAGGTGGATCCCATCCACCTAACATGTTACAATCATTAAAGCACACACTATTGTCACAAAAGCCAAAACCTTCTCCATGGCACTGGCCTCAAAACCAGATATTCATCTGCACTATGTGTCCACTTCTATAATTTCATGCTTTTGAACCCAGAATGGCAGAGGACTTGGAGCATGGTTTGAGTTTTTAATTTTTTAACAGTGGTACTGTAAATTTGGTCTATGATCAGTACCCTAAAACCCTGTGACCAACTTCAGGAAGAGGCCCAAGGCTTGCATATTTGCTTTCCAGGCCACCAAAATCCTGAGTTAGTCAAAACATATCTTTATCTGTACATTTATCTTTCAGAATCTTTTCAATTTAAGCAGACTGCTGGGGTCTGGGGTCCCAACCTATGCAGTCATGGGGAGTAGGTTGAGCACATTGTTTATCATGGGATCACTTACAGACCACTGATCGAATTCTGCAGGAAATAAAAAGGCTTCCATGTGCATATGGTTTAATTCTGAGGAACTTCTGGGAATTAAGGCAACATTTTCACTAATAATTTTTAAGCTTTCAAAATAAGATTTGTGCCAGTGCAGGACCTTGCAGGACCTTGGATGGCGCTGGTTGCAGTCCCACTCTGGGTTCTTCTATGATTTTGGCAGCTGTGAAAGTGCTTTCAAAAACAAAACCAAACTTCTGGACAGCAGCTTTTTCACATGGCTGGATGAAGCCTTGGAAAGAAGCATCAAGTATTTGGCTTCATTGTTTGCATCACCAAAGCATGCTGCAGACTCTATGGAATGTACCTTTTGTGTCTTGCAAAAGCAAATCCTGCATCTTTGGCAAATCAGCATTGTTTTGGTGGCACCAGGCTCTCCTATGCACCTTGGGCAATGTTCATGTCTCCATGGTGGGGACAAGTCTAGAAAAACTGCTCTAGTCAGAATGTAGGTATGGCCCTGTGTGTCCAGCACATGTCCTACACACATTAAGAAACCCTAAGCTCTCCTCTTACTGAAGCCTCTGGCTGGAGATTTTCCCAACCTCTTTTTCTTGCTGGGCTTGCTTGCAGCTTTAGTCTTGTTAGGATTGGTTTCCCCAGCCTCACCTTGTCCCCAGCCAGGACAAGTTTGGAAAGTGGTGGAAAGCTTCACCTTCAGCCCCTGGGCTTCTGCAGGGGAACCACAGGTGGCCCCTACACAGAGGTTGAGTTTGTTGATCCACCTGGAAATGTGGTAGAAGATCAGGGAAAGAAATGAGGAAGGGTGAAAGACAGGGCAAAAGTCTATGCCCATAAGTGAATGATCACTTCAAAGTAAGGCCAGGTAACCTGGGTGACCTCTGAATATCTCAATATTTGCCCGTCCCGCTTGTGGTTGTTTTCCCTACACCCAGAAAGCCCAGGCAACTTCTATCCTTGCACACAGAAGTGTGCTACATCTCGCCACCATGGGAAAAGACCAAAAATGGCCAGTGGGGTGTGAGTTTGTGCCTTTCCCATAGGAGGTTCAGCTGCCCCCCAGGCAGATCCCTGGGGCTGCTCCCCCCTTGTGGCACTCACCTGTGCAGCGGAAGGAGCTGGCAGTCACAGTGGAACGGCACATCCTGCAGGTTGAGGATCTCCAGCCCCGTGAAGTTGTTCATGTCAGGTATGTTACTCATTTTGTTGCTCTCCAGGTAGAGGCTTCTGATCTTGGGACCGAGGCCAGTGAAGGCTTGGGGGGAAATCTGCAATGGAAGAAGGGTAAGTCAGGGGCATGCTGATCAAGGCAGGGGAGCAGATCTCTGCCCCTGCACTTCTGATCATCTTGGGGGGCCTGACAACCTGACCTGAAGCTGGTGGCCCACAAAAGAGCTGTTTTAAATAGGAGGGACTGTTAATTAATTCAAGCCATTTCAATCACATTTTGGAAGTCATTAGACTCTTGTTCAGTCTTTGAGAGAAGGTCACATGCAGGAGGTCTCAGAGTGATCCCTGGGTGCTGTTAAGATACACAGTTTTTATGAGGGTGTTGCTAATACCACTTCCTTGAGAGAATGGAAATATTCAGGATAATAGCAGTGGAGAGGCCTGCAGGACACCCTGTAATAAGAGAAAGAACAATCTGGCCGGAGCTGGGGGAAGCAGGTGGTTTAGGAAATGGTGGGAACCCCAATGAAATTAGGTGTTAAAGGACTGGAGGGAATAAGCTTCTCCCAAGGGAGCCAGGATGAAGGTTGAAGCAAGGGAATGCTACAGATGAGCCTGAAAAAATCTGACTTCCCAGCCAGGCTATGGAACACCTCCTGAAGTCTCGGGAATTCGAGGATGTCTGTTTGGATGACCCTATAGGGGCCACCAGCTAATATGCCCTGCGGTGCCACTGCCCCTTGGGAGTCCCATAAGACACTCACCCACTCCAGGCCCATGTTGTCCAGGTAGAGGTGCTGCAGGCTGGAGGCCACTGGCAGGAAGACACCATCCCCCACGTGCTTGATGGGGTTTCGGGACAGCTTCAACTCACTCAGGGCAGGCAGGCCCCGCAGGGCTGCTGTGGGCACCTCTGACAAGTGGTTTCCCTCCAGCTGCAGCTTTTCCAGCATCTTGGTGGGAGCCAGGGCAGCCGGGGCAATGTGCCTGATGGCATTCCCAGCTAGGTAGAGCCAGCGGAGCCCCCTGGCTCCGGCCAGGTCACCCTCCACCAGCTCCCCGATGGCGTTGTGCTGCAGATGGAGGGAGATGAGGTTGGGCAAGAGCCGGAAGGTGCCTGCAGGCACGCGGGTGAAGGCGTTGTGGTCCAGGTCGAGGTAGGCCAGCTGCGGGGCCCCCTCAAAGGCAGCAGCCTCCAGGGTGGAGAGGTGGTTGTCGGTGAGGTACAGGTAGACCAGGCTCTCCAGCCCCCGGAGTGCCCCGGGCTGCAGCTCCCTGATGCTGCACCTCTGCAGGTGGAGTGACACCAGCTCCTTCAGGCCAGGGAAGGCATCCGGTGGCAC